AAAAAACCAAAGAATTAAATGCTTTTTCACTGTAGTTTTTAATACTTTTTGAGGTAGTCTTTTCTCGCTGCTACACCAACGAAAGTTGCACTTCCAACTGTGATCTTTAAAACCCCATTGTAGTTTTTACACTCATATGCGATCAGGTTTAAGAAACTCAACTTTCTGCAGCAAACAAAACGTTATCGTACAGCAGTCTTAAAAAGAAGGCTAAAAGGGGTTGTAGGTCCCTGTAGTATTCTTACAAACCGCGATAAGTGAGTCTCATGTCTTTGTAGCAGTTATGCAACTAACTGCACCCCGTAAAAAGGCTTGAGCGATTTCTCTACTACCACTATCGGGTAGGAAATCTGACAGATCGGCCTCTTACGGTATTCTGATGTTCTCTTGTCTCTGCAACTTTTATGTAAGAACAACGCTTTAAGTAAGATGTGCAGTTTATGATAAGCACTGCGGATAAATAAAAATACATGCTCCATATATATTGCATTAACTGGGCTTTGTAGCGACAAACAATTTTTCATCGTTAAAATACTTCAGCTTATAATTGCTGATTTTGCTGTTCTAATTTTTCTCTATTCTTTTTACGCAAATTCTGCTCTAATTCTTCTGCAGTTATATTACTTTTCAGCAAAGACTAAACATATTTCAAAAATCTAAGAAACCTGGACCAAAACTCTTTGCTGTAAACTTTACTAGCTTAACTGTTCTACAGCCATAAAATAACGTGAGCTGTTTGTATCTCTAATTTGTTTTACAGTTCCATTATTTTGATTAAGCAGACTGCGTTTGGATAATTGGTGAGCAATAGATCGGAAGCTAGTAGATTTTGGGTCAAAGAGTTTTGCTTAATTTTTTTTGAATTTTTGGAATATTTTTGACCAAATACAGTGATTAAATCATATTAAGTTTCTCATACCTTAAATAAGGTTGACAGCAGTTATGATTTTCGCCTAGTTTTTGTAACGACCTTATTCTTCGTCACCAATACTAAGTTGGACACAGATTTCGATAACTGTGTGCAAAGACAATGTGTAGATCACTTTTAATTAGAAACTTTTGGTGGAATAACGCAGAAAAAAATCATTGTTTCTTATGCAGGAGCCAATCTCAAACCAAAATGTTAAACTCTACTGTTTTCAAATTTAAAAAACTCATAAATGATTCACTTTATTATCTTTGCACTTTAGCAGCAGCATATATAAACTTTTATAGATTCAAACAATGAAAAACACTAAAAGGTAGTTTATTTTTCAATTTTTGTTACATACTTTACAATACTTTTCAGTTGTAACAGTGACAAATTATTACGTTAAGATAACCAAAAACGTCTCACATTGCACAGATTTTATAATGTTTCATATTTGTTAATAATGTAGTTATTTTATGTTACCAACAAATATTTTTTATCAGTAATTTCGTTTTCTCAACAATTCTGCGGCAGCGAAGTCATTGAGAGTCATAATTCTCAAAAATCTTCCAAAAAGTGAATAAGTACTTTTAGCAGATGGCTGACTGCGATGAAAAAAAAGCCCATGCACTCAATATTCTCAAAAAGTCAAAGGGTACAAGCTGGGAACCTGATGAGGAAGCATTAAAAGAAATTCTGATGTCTCAAGAAGTGAAAGATAAAAAGGTTAGTAAGACTCAAAACAGGTGCAGTGTTTTTTTGAAATCTCAGAATTGAGCCACGTTTTACAGCGGTTTTTTCAAAAACTCTGCGTTGGAATTCTGAAAAACAAAATAAATTTTTTAAAACTTTTTCGATAGTGGTCTGCAGCTAAAACTTCTTTGTTAAAGGTAATGCTAGTGAGTATTGCCGGTCCCTCTCGTTCTGGGAAAAGTTTTTTGCTAAATCTTCTTCTGGAAATCGCTTGTGCAGTGGAGCAAGGTTTTTGTAGACCAGAAAAGACGATAACGTTGAGCACGAATTCAGGATTTAGTTGGAGAGGAGGTTTCTGAATTAAACTCATTGTTGAAAATTTATTAGCAAATTCAATTTTGCTTAGTTAAAGAACAGTTTTCTAAAGCAGAAGAATTATTTAGCATTTTTTTGTAGGATCGAAGAAGGAGACCTCAGGAATAAATATGTGGTCCAAACCTTTCCTGCTGAAGAATTTAGACGGCGAAGAAATTGCTGTTTTATTTATAGATACTGAAGGCTTTTTTGACGCAAAGTCCACATGGGAAGGGTGCGCAAGAATTTTTGCGCTTTCAAATTTAATATCTTCTGTGCAGGTATAGAAATGCTTTGACATCTCACGTATAGATTGAATACGTTGCCAAATTTGAACTTTCTCATAAATAACTGCAATTTTCTGTGTCATACCCCTACCGCTCACTAAAACACAATTTTTCGTTAAATCTTATTGAAATAAAATTAAAAAACTGTCTTTCTGACCTCAGCGATTCTTCCCGGTTTTAAAAAAATTGCAATTTTTTGCGACTCACTGTCGCTTATTATTTAGGTCTACAATCTTAGAGGAGCAATTCAACAAGACTTCCTTAAACACGTGGAAATATTTGGTCAATATGGCTTACATGCAATAAAAGAGAAAAAGACCAAACCATTTCAGGTTACGCTTGAGTTTTACCTTAATCTAAGTAAAATTTTGTTGAATTTCTCATTTGGCCTGTTAAAGCTATATAGTGAAAAAATTTTAGAACCTCTTGTGTTTGGTACGGGACTGGACTTTTGAATTCGACCACAGTTATGGGTTTGACGGGGGAGAATCATATCTGAAGGAATTTACAGAAGTAACAGTCCAGAAATATTTTCTTTTGCATTCTCCGACATTTAAGAACACATCAACGAAAGAGTCTATGAGCAAAAATTACGTCTTTTTA